ACAGACACCGCAAAATTATAAACTCGGTAGGGCTCGTTAATAAATACACGTGATATATATCTCACTACACTCCCTCACTTCCATTGTGATATTTAATGATTTTTTCTAACCCCTCCCCCCCTTCATGATTCACGTGATTAATGGACGACTCCTAAAGTTACTTCCACTCAGTGTTGCCAATTTGGTGATTTTGTCACTAGATCTGGTGAATTTCAAGATTAATTTCGGACTTTTTCATCACGATTCAGGCATAAAACCTAGTGATTTTCAACATCATGTGGAGACTATCTGGTGATTTCAAGAACAACAGCAATGCTATATATATAAAAGTGTGAATTTTGGAAATGTTCACGTTTTTTCAATAAAAATGTGTATTCATTTATTTAAAAAGTCCTATTTCCTGTAGTAGGTAAGTAGTCCTATTATGTTATGAAAGAAACAGGATACGAAGAATCGCATACGATTGATTTTCAGTAGGGGAATTTTTTGGCAGCTTTCGGAAACGCGACTTTTAATTTGGCTCATATTCAATAGCACTGATCCTTGAACTTGTAGAAATCGATTGGTAAAGGTTTGACATCACTGTCTCTTTTCGTTCTCGAGCTATACGAGGAACGGACGGACGCACAAAGCCGTCACATAAGGGACATTTTTTTCTTTCGAAAAATTCCCCTAAACACTAATGATGTGAATTTAGGGAATTTGTCAAATGTTGTTGCATACTTATTTAATAATAAAATTGGTGGTTTTGTTGTGAAAATCACTAGATTTTGGAGAAAAAAAATCACCAATCCATCCACCTAGTGACTTCCAGGCGGCCATTCTCAGATTTGTCATTTACTACTTGGCAACACTGCTTACACTTGCATACGTTGTGTCTTGTATGAACTATTAAAACTACCTATATCTACTGGGCAAACATACCGTGCACGCCCCTCTTCGTCCAATGTTTCTTCCTCATCAATTTCATCCTCGTAGGTTTCTTGATCGAAAGGACGCGTCTCGACAGAAAGGAAATTGGGCAACTTTACAAAATGAATATCTCTACCAAGGTCACAACTAATTTTCGGAATTTCAACATCAATCCTTGTTTCCGGAACAGGTTCAGGTTCGGGCTCCTTCTCTTCCTCCTAAAACAATTAATTGCAACTAAACAAACTAAGCTATGACTTACTTCTTCAATCAGTGGTCTTCGTTCATTTTCATCAACATCAGAGAGTCTTTCTCGTGCATCAGCATCACTTCTACCACCTTCACTACCCCGTTCCACATCTTCACCTTTATCCCTTTCTTCTTCACTACTTATATCATCGGCGTCCCCAAACAAAGCGGCCGCGCTTGGTTCTTGTTGTTCTACAAAATGGATAAACACAAAGAATTCCACCTTCGTATACAATACCTTCATTTTCACTTTCAGAGTCGATAAGTCTATGCTTCTTTTTTGCTTCACCTTCCTGCGAAGTGGATCGCTTTCGTTTACTCACCACATCGCTACCTGGACTTCCCCCATCAATTTCCAAATTGGGACTATTGGATCTACTATTATCTTGAGATGCGTTCCGATTCTGAGAAGGAGATTTGGAGCCACGTGAATGTGACCTGGACCTAAAACCAAACTTTGGTATCGAAAAAAGACATGTCTACAACTCACCTCGATTTTGATCTATTTGATTCAGCACTTCTTGATCTATTAGATTCCTTCGAGCCAGACCTAGACCTTTGAGAACCAGAACCTGACCTATTTGACGCTTTTGAATTTCTTGAGCTGGACCTCGAACGGTGAGACTCTTGTGAACGGGATCTATTGGACGTCTTTGAATTGCGCGAACCCGAACGGCTAGAAGCTCGTGATTGCGAGCGATTAGATGCGTGTGAGCCTGATCGGTTGGATGCTTGTGAACCCGAACGGTTAGATGCTCGAGATCCTGAACGGTTAGACGCTCGAGAACCAGACCGACTTGTTGCACGAGACCCGGAGTGATTTGACGCCTGAGAACCCGAACGATTTGAGGCGCGTGAGCCTGATCTGTTCGACACACGAGAACCAGATCGAGAACGAGATTTGTTAGAGCCAGGTGATGCAGAGCGACTACCACTTCTAGATCGGTTAGAGGCGCCAGATCTATTTGAGGTTGCTGAACCAGCACTTTGTGATCTTTGCGATTTATTGGAAGCCGGACTTTGAGAACGCGATTTGTTTGAATGTTCTGATGCTACCGAATTCGAACGTTGTGAGCCTCCAGAACGCGAACCACTTCGACTCCGAGCAGTGGAAGGCGATCTATTTCTAAACGTGGTGGGTGAATTAGAAGGGGACCTATCAAGTCCATAGCCAGGAGTTGGAGCTGGTCCTTGGACTGATGGGCTCAAACTTCGTTGTGATTCAATATCGGAATCCGATCCGGATGCCATCACGGACCCTGGCAAGAGTTTTCACTGTGGGAAATTGTGAAATTTTTAGACAAAAATTACAAACATAACACCCGACATAACCTCACAGGAAAACAGACAACATAAGCCATGAACCGTGGCTCAATAACACTACTGTGGTGATAATGTACCGGATATCCAAATAAAGGCTGATTCTCACTATACATAACGTTTCCATACCATATCCATTCCATAACCATTCTGTAAATTATTATAGGCTACGAAATTGACCTTTAAGTGATATGAGCGTAAGACATTCACTCACGCGCTAATACACATTCGCCTTCCATATGTGAACGGAAAGGAGAATGTGTATTAGCGCGCGGCTAAATGTCTTACGCACATATCACTTAAAGGTCAATTTCATAGGTATAATAATTTTCGGAATGGTTATGGAAAGGATATGGTATGGAAACGTTATGTATAGTGAGAATCAACCTTTAGAATTTGTATAATCTGTTCACTCAACAGATGCAGTTAAGCCACTCCCAATAAGTTTTGGCCAATGTAATATCAGACCCGTTTCACAGTCACAAAAATTATAAAAATCACGAAATTTAAAATGGCATGTCACATTGTATGACTAAGTTATAAAGTGTTATGTTTTGAATATTGACCTTTCAACACACAGCAATGCATAGTTTCAAAATTGTTTATTAAGTTCAAAAGGTATTTTGTTCGTATAAAGCTGGATTCACATGAATACGAAATCCGACGATACGGTCATCCGAAATACTTATGATTGGTCAATAATTTGAAATGTGCTTGACATTTCAAACTATTGACCAATCATAAGCATTTCGGATGACCGTATCGTCGGATTTCGTATTCATGTGAATCCGCTTTAATGAAATTAAGGGCAAGTTGAGGCAAGACAAATACAAAACGCAATGACAGTTTTGACGTTACGGATGTCAATTCAGATACGGCAATTATAATTGGAAGCAAATAGTTGCGTGTGTAACAGGTTTTGAAAATTCGGCCAATTAAAAATGTTCATTTAAATTTGCCGGCAATTTTTTGGGAGGAGCTTAACTGCATCTGTTCGGTGAACAGATAATAGTTCACTGAGGACAAATATAACAATAGGATGGGAAAAAAATAAGTGACCATTAAACTTTATAGCAAAATTAGTTGTCTGTAATGACATAAATGCATGTTATGATGGTTGTCAAGTAAATCAATAGGTATAATGTCGAATCACAGACTCCACTGGGATTCCAAAGAACTAACATCTGACACACATAACATAAAAAACAATCATTAAAACATTACAATAAATTCACATAATAAGTTTGGATATTGGATGGCCAGTCCAAATCCCACACCGAGTAGTAGCGTTGTTGCTCTGGTTGTGTCATATCAGCATTGTATGTAAAACGCTAGGAGTTGGCCTCTCAGAAGAGCATTTTACAAAGGAAGGATACCCCAATTGGTACAAAAAAACAAAAGGGCACAACGAGAACACGCCGCGCATTTTTAAGAGATCCCTGCGCAAGTGAGGCCGGGTTTAGCCAGCGCCCTCATGTACGACTAAGCGGGAGGCCCAACTCTCACTCACACATCTCTAGTCCAATCGACTAGTTATAAAGTGCCGGGTTATAAAAAAACCGAACGCCAGGCTCTCCACCATGAGTACTGACAGTAACCGATCAAAAGACAAATCATGACATAACAAAAAATAACAGAGCAACCACCGGCAAACTCGCACGCATACTTATAATCATAATTCATAAACAGAATTATATAGTCCAGGGAATAGAGGGTTTTAACTTGCAAAATGAGAAGTATGTAGTTCCAATTTCTTTTGCATGTCATAGACAGTCATTTGGAGGTTAAGATCTAAGTTTTCGACCTCCCACCCCTTGTGCTTCTCCCGTACCACCCCCAAAACCCCTGAAATTTGGTTGGTTTCTTAGTTTTCAATATTATCTTTTTAATGGTTCACTTTAGAAAAAAATATTGTTATCAGAAATTGTAGACCATAAAATTCTACACAACTTTAATATACACTACTTTTTTGTGAAATGTTTATTAAAAAAGATATGCTTGAGAGTTTCCTACTTCTTATGGACGACATATTGGATTTTTATGTCATTCGATAGAGAAAAAAAACAGAGCGTGCTTTTATACAGTGACGCCATCTACCATCGTCTTCGTTTTTTCTTTTTAAATTTTTAAATTCTGCACTCCGATTTTCCATTTTCACAGATGTTTTCTTATATATATGGTTTTAACTACCCACTTAACCACACCCACACTTAAGGTGTCCACAATAAATTGGATGTTCAGTCATCAGTGTCATAGCGTTATAAGCGCTTTAAATGTTTCCCAACGTCAAGAAACCTAACGCACGTGCAGTAGCAAGAAAGAGAGCTAATCCATTTTACTCTTGGATGACCATTACTAAAATTCTCTTGAGTGAACATTGGCAGTTTTGGAGGTGTGATTATCCTATGTGATGATAGTATAAAAAAATCTTATTTTGCATTTGCATTTGACCAATTAAATAGTATAAAAAATATAGGAATTGGTGCATTAGCAATATCTACTTAAAACAAAGGGCAATGTCTGGTCGAAATACTTTTAATCATTTTGTACAAAAAAAAACTTTTCACAAACTTCATGAAAAATCTACAACAAATTTAACGGCTAATCTTTGATGTTATATTATAGCTATGTTACACTATTCCGATGACCTGAAATTAAGAAAGATATAAAATCCACCTTAACATGTTAGAAAAGGGACTTACTCGACTTTGGTAATCGTAAAAGTTCTGTATCGCCCGCTGTAACTTCATATGGTTGACTACGATAAGTATACGAAACATACAGAAATTTATCTTCACCAACTGCAGGATCAAAGAACCCAGGTAGTTGACTCTACAAAATTTCACTCAATTTACAATTTGGTGCTTCTCTAAAGTAAAATGGTCAGAGTCTATATTTAACGTACCTTTGATTGTTCGTATAAAACCAATTTACTATCCCGTACTAAGCATTGCAAGGGAATAGTAACATTTATAACTTCCTCGCTTTCACTTTTTTCTAAAAAAAAAGTTTTGGTATTGATTATGGGACATAATCAACTTACCGTTTAATATTTTCCCGTATAACGCTTTATTAATTATAAGGCCTTTTTTAGACTCCTCGTCAGTGCAAATGCGCGCGTAAGTTGCAGTCATAAGGTCTACTGCCGCCTGCGCCTCTCTACGTTTCTCCATTAACTGCACTTGATTCTTTTGTTTCTCTTTTTCGATCTTCTGCGCTTGCTGTTCTTTATGGAAAGGTTCAACTATGCCTTTTTTTACCAGAACATACACTACTAAGGGAACTACGGTTGCGTAGAAAATGGCCGATGGCATTACTTCCTCACATAGGTGTATAGGAAATGAATATGTTTGGTTGGCCCGATTTAATCTAAAACAAACAAAAATATGATTCTCCCATAAAAGCCAGGTTGGCGAAAAGAACAAGAAAAATTTATATACAGGGTGGTGGATTTATCTCAGAAACGGTTTGGAATCTTTTTTGAATAATCGAAAAGGAATCATTTAAAATATTTTCAAGATGGCGACTTTTCCGGTTGTATCAGAACGATACCAGAACATTCTTATTTCAAATGGCACTATCTTTTCTGATGGCAATTTCGAATTCCTCATAAAAAATTAGTATGACTTTGTCAATATGATGCTATGTCTAACTGACATGCTTTTGAAGTTATTTAACATTTTTGACAAGGGTTTCAGAGGTTCAGTAAATTATCCACTGTTGTCTGACAACTTAGAGAAATGTTTTTTTCACGAATCGACAACTAAAAGTCCACGCTATCAAATGTTATTGGTCTGATTTTCAAATGTGATTCGAAAATAATTTGAATAAGCGTTCAAAGTTGACAATCGATTTTGGTTGAAAATTCGAAATTTTCAAATGGAAACCATATCTTTACTATGCATCAATGGAAAGAGCATAAAAAAAGGGTAACAAAATGTACACGGTAAGTCAACTATTGCGCGGAGTTATAACGCTGATATTAAAAATAACGACGTTATAATAATTTATTTCGAAGAAAACACTTTTACATAATTATTTATGGCGACGCATTCTTAATTAATTGACAACAACTAAAAACAAAAACAAAACAATATGGGACGCCTGTCATAGTTGGCGGGAACGCGGCCATGCCTTCTGCCACCACTTTGGCTCCTAGGGAAACAACTGCCCTCGAATAATATAAGTGTCGTTACAGAGTAACTTAATGCTTTGAAGATAAAATTTTTCGATTATGGTACATTTTTTAAAATGGAACCCGATGTATTTGAATGCTTTTTGTTAGTTTTACGTGTAATTGTACGACATTTTATTATATGGTTAATATCCGAAAAACTAGTCGTTTTAAAGATAATTCGATGTGCAGGAAAAATTTAGCATTTGCTCGCCCGAAATATCTTGGTTTTGGATATGGAAGATTGGAAGATATTGAAAATCGCGCAAAACCGTTTCGGGGATATCGAGGAGGAACCAGAATGACGTTATGAGTGACAACCCCCCACCCCC